ACACACACACACACACCACCCCACATTTCAGATCTACACACACACACACATATATATATATAATATGCGTGCAAGTATTAGACAGAGAGGTCACGGCTGCTTTGCGAATATGTATGTCACGGTTGCTTTGCGGTGTTGGTGGGCAAAGACATTGAAGCACAGCGCTGCTTGCATATTTAGGTGAGAGCGAGGAACCATTCCACCCGAGCCTCGAATTTAGAGGGGGCAGGTGCCATTCCAACGTAGCAGACCTTTGGTGAGCCATATGAAACTAAAATTTAGAGGACGAAGGGGCAATTCCAAGGCAGCAGACCTTGTGTGAGCCACCCAAGGACAAAATCTACAGGGGGCACGGGCCATTCCAAGGTAGTAACACCTTTGTAGGGGGAAGGTGTCGTTCCAACGTAGCAGACTTTTTGTGAGCCACCAAGACATAAGCAACCGCCCACAGAAACATCCAGCACGCGTCCTTCCCCCAAACTAAACTCCACTGCACCGGCCACTAATGCGAAATCTGCACTATTTCTTCCGATGTACTTTGCCTGGTACGACAGCTGTTTCTCTTTAATGTCAACCCTGCTGCCGAGATTGTCCCTGCTTACGGACCGAGTTGCTGTAGCAACAGATTGTGAGCCTCAAGGATGTTGACAAAAACGAAACATGAACAAACGAATTGAACCTGCACCCGTATCCTACCACACAGCACCCAATATAAGCCATTTCAACAACAATTAGAAACTTCTTTCACACAAGAGAACTGCAATTGGTCCAGGTTCTTTGTCATGTTGAAAATTCACACATGCCCAAGCAGGTCCAATATGACACCACGACACCATATACCCAGGTACACAGTGCGATGGAATGCGCCGGGTGCCTTGGAGGCGGCTCCAGCGCTTGGTGTTGTCCTTCTCATGTGATGTCCCGCTTTTGCAGCCAGGTGACGGATCCGTCAGTGAACATGACAGGCAACGTGTTCAACTTCTCTGGCCTTGGCAAGCATTCCAACAACAAGTGCGCGGCGTTTGGTGAATCCTGTGTGCGTAGTTTCAAAGCTGCCATCGCAGCGGCAGGTACAAATATTTTCTGTCCATCAACCTTTTTGACAACATTGAGGTTGGGTCCTGCCAATTTGAAGTGCATCAATTCGGCCTTTCTATGGAAAGCCCTGAGAGAACGCATGTGCGGCACATCATGCACAGCGCACAACGTTATTGTTTTGGCAAGACATATAAAAACACACGCGACATGCCCTTGCCTACCAAAATGTCTTTGGGAGAGGCTCAGCTCTCCAATTGGAATGCAGCGTCGGACACACCCTCAGACAAGTCACGGCTGGTGCTTGTGTGCAACAGGCCTACTCCTTTCTCGCCTCTGTCCTGTTGTCATCAGGTTGGAAAACTGAGCGTGACGCTTCGCAAGCGATGGGCGAGGTGCACATCCCACCTGTTAGGTAATGTAGGAATTCATGAAAGGACTTCAGAATCGGTTTGGCTGTTTAACGGGACATGTTGCTGCAGCTTGATGCGCAATTTGTTGTTTGTGCTTGTACAAGACTTGTCAGCATAGCCCTGCTGTTCATGAGCGTGCTGCAGGAAATGGCCCAGATTGCTGAGTGACAAGAAGACGAAAGTGTCCAATATGCACATGTGGATGGAGATGCAGGCAACGAACTGCTGATTTGTTGGGAAGTCTCCTCTGGGTATGTTTGGGCCACAACCTGTTTCAGAACCTGAGGAGAAGCTGGATTCGAGCTTATCTGGCTTCAGCAGCGTCTCTAATTCCCCCATCACCTGTGCAGCTGGTGGGAAGTTGTGCCCTTGAAGAGGAAAGAAAAGCCTTGTTGTTTATTCGATTGAATGCATGTCTCGATTTGAGCCTTTTTCTTTTTGAGACAGAACAGCAACTGTCCCTTTGCAAGTCATATCAACAGAATCTGGCCGACCACAGCTGTGCCCTGGACCGGCCATGCCTTGCAACTTGCATACCATATCGTAGTCCTGAGTCCTGGGTATCACGGAGCATCGGAGATGATTTCCAGTCGACATGCTCAGCTCTACGAGGATGCCGAGCATTGCCAGATACAGACTGTATGAAAACATATAAAGATGTGGGCGTGTCAAAAATGATTGAACAACGGCTGCACCAGTTTGTACGAGGTACTGTGTAGCTACAGACACCTGCAAAAAGTCAGGGACTCAGGGGGAAAGCTGCATAGCTTTGCCAGGGTGGAAGTTTGGGTTTTGAAGCACAACCTAACAGCGATCGCCTCCAACCCATAGCGATGGCCTCCAACCAGGCTTGCAATCGATCAATGCCATTTGTTGAACGTAGTCGGTTGGTTTGTGCAGATACCCTACAGCCGGTACCTCGTACATATCATCGTACCCTTGCATCCATTTATTTTCCAGTTGCCAGTCATCAGCCGACTGTGGTGGTCGACATTGAAAGGCTTTGAGTGAGACACTTGATCTGGGGTTTAGGTGAACATTAGACTTAGACCTCTAAGATCCTCTAAGCTTTGATCACGTGTCCACTTGAATCAGAAACTCTCCAGATGAAAGAAGAACAACTCATCCATTTTTCCCTCCATCAATCCCTCCCCCACTCTCCCTCTCTTTCCCTTTGTTTTTTTCTTTGCTCAGGTCAGAGAATTGTTCACAATGCCCTGGCAAAACCGAAGCCAACGAGGAGGCACTGCGCTTTGGATTCTCAGACTCAGAGGTGTGTGTGGTTTGTGTCGAAAACATTCGAACACTATTGTGCGCCAGATTGCGCCAGTCCCAGCTTGCAAGAAGTGACGAAAGAGTGACATGCCACATCACAGAATCCCACAGAAACAAAAGTCATTCCATCTCTTTTCATCTTGATTTGTATACATATTTAGGATGACTTTGCAACTTCTGTTCCTCCATTTGGTTTGCATTGTTGCATGCTATGAATTCCTCAAATTTCTATGACCTCTCATATCATTCTCAAAGAATGCCTTCGGCCTACGAGGTGCACCTTTGTGCTGGGAAGCCTTCAGAGAAGGCCTAGCTGCTTAGCTGTAGCCGTGACGCAAGAGGTAAACAAAAGCTGCAGGTATGTCACTTGGGCCACTTGGGAATCAGAGACGGAAGGGGCTGGGACTCTGCGACTGGAGACAAACTGACACTGTTTTCTGGTCTTGATAATGGGCAGAAGTGTGACGATTGCGACAAATTGATGACATGACATCTTGTGGAAGAGACGTGCAGCTTCGGCAGAACATGGGTTTCCCATCAGTAGCATTTCGCTGCTGCGGTTTTACAAACAAGCTGGCCGTCCACAACGAAGCAAGCCATGCAGCATGAGGCAACTGAGCAATGCAGCAATGGAGAGCAGCAGCACCCCCAAGCAAGATGCAGCCACAAGCTTGCAAATCAAGAAGCTGACATAAACATGTACATGTCGGTTTCATATATCGGAACATACCTGGGCAGGCATCCTTGACCTTCCAGGACAGCGGACATGGGCTTTTGATTCTTCATTTCCTTGCGTTGAAACTCGGGTGATTTTCCAAACGTCAACCACAGAAGGCCAGTGCTAAGACACTGCTTTTGCCTCAAAAAGCATTGCCTCGAGGATGCTGACATGGACGAGCACCAGCTGAGCGGTGAGGTAAAGATTCACAAGGCATGCTGTGCTGTGAAGTACCAAACACTTGCATGTCATTATTGCTCTTATTCTTGAAGAAATCACAAATTCATTTGTTCCTATTTGTTCTGGCCTTCATAATGTACCTTATGCATCATATGTTCTCGAGTATCAAAGATGACAGTGACGCACACGACGAACAGTGAGCTGTTTATGATGCAGCCCGAACTGGTCCAACAAAGAAATCAAAGTTTGCAAGCCAACCCCGGGGCCAACCCCAATCTCGTGGCCAGTGGCGTTATTGAACATGCAGCCCACGAAGAGGACCTTGACCCCAATGCTCAGTTGAGCCCCGTTTAGGCCAGAAATGACTTTGACGTGGACACCTACGCGGTGTTTTGGGGCAAGGCCCGAAAGCCTCCTTCTATATCTTGAGACAAGCTATGTTGATAGCGATGTGAAGAGAACATTTGTGTGCTTGACGTCGGATCATGTGAACGATTTTATAAGATACTATCTATATATATAGTATGAACCAAAGCTAGCGGGAAAAGAGTTTTAAGTTTGAAGTTGCAACAGGTTTAATATGTTAGACGTGAAGGTGACCCATGTTTAAATCCATTGTTCTTGAAAGTCTGAATGGATCTAACATTATGCACGCGAACGACTCAGGGGTTTTAAGGCTTTAGGACACAGACATGCTACTTTGGCCGCTTCTGTGAAGAGATCAGGTCATCAGCAATGTTCTCTGTTGACTCCCCCGCTTTTGGCCAAATTATCGCTGTCAACAAACGTGACGGCTTGACATCGCTCGGCAGCACAGCATTCATGTGTTCATTATTTTGCCTCCGGCCCGGGCGAGCTTATCAAACAATCACATGCGGTTCAGCTTGTTTTCATGCCCACCTGGGGTTTTGAGGTTAGTACAAGCTGTTGTGCCAGCATTCGCATGCATTCGCATCCGCTCTGCTCCTGACCTGCAGAGCGACACTGCCAAGCTTGAGAACGCTGATGGGAAGGAGCTACTGTTGGGAGAGGCCGAGAGGAATCATTTGGAATCTGTTGGAAGAACAGAAGAGCCAGGAGCCCTTAGTACTGTAGCGTCTTTGCTCCTAGTAGCGATGCCAGGAGCCCCTAGTAGCGTCTTGCTACATTACTGAGTGCAGATTCTGTACACTAGGGAATCACATTGAAGCTTGGCATTGGCTGTCTCTTTGAGGTGTCATATCCTCATGAACTGGCTAGACCAGTTCCTTAAACTTAAACCTCCAATTCCTTGATTTCCAGGCTTGAAATCGACACATCCTTATTTTATGTTGCAGGCTTGGCGTGATATATTGCTCAAGACTCAGCAATATTGTAACACATCTCCAACAGAGGCTAAATTCAAATCCCTTGGCCAGAAGTGCTGCCAGCATGAAATTCGTGTGGTGGACAGCCACAATTGCTGTGGTGCTGCTTATGGTTGCCGCTGACGATGTTTGTATGCCTGATGGGCTTGGCCCAGAACATCGGAAGAATGTCACTCGACACTCAAGCATCGCAAGCGTGTGCACGCTCACTAAAACGTCACCAGATAGTCAAAAAAGGGGGAAGAAACACATGACATGGAGCTTGCTGAGGTCTAGCAGCGTAGCAGTAAATACTGTACTGTGTATTTCGGGTTACGTTTATGAAAAGACAGTTGAGTGAGAGAAGAAACATGAAGAAACCCACAATGTTTTGCAATCAAAATGCCATAGTTGCTTAGTTTCTGCAAATGGCTTTCACGCGTGGTTTCCGAGGTTACGAATGCAGACGGAGATTCCTTCCCTCTCAACGCCCTTCTACAGCCATACAAATCAGCTCAGATGGCTCATGCCATTTTGGAGATTTTGATCACCGAACACTTAGGATATCGATTGACCTTCGACCCACATGTGCCAGCATCGAGCATTGATGCTATGCATGCTTTGGTGGGTTGCGAGACTTGGTTCGATCCGAAAAACCGAGGATGTTCAAACAGAGTTCATCGGTGGCACTTCATGGTTGAAAGTTGGCACTTGGCTTTTCCGTCAGACCTCAACTTCCTGCAAGAGGCCTATTCAGCCGAGTGGCTGATTTCTACAGACTTGGGGTATCGCGGATCTTCAGGTGCCTACGTCCGGGTCTGAGTTGCCATTCATCCCGCGTCGTTCTCGCATCATGCTCAAAGGTTGGATGTATTATGATAGTATTCAGTATGCCTACCTGGTGCCGAGCTTTTCTATAGACACCTAGCTTATAACGATTTGAGACTGGAATTTTAAGCACCTATGTCATGAGTCATGTATATATATTGTTTTTTTTAGACATGGACTTCCCCCGAAACAGGTTTACCTGTGAGGGGGTTCTTACTCCTTTGAAAGGGTGCTTTTGCTGGTCGCAGACTCTTTTGCGCTTGTCTCTGGTTGTGCTGTGTGCCGTCTCTAGTTGGCTTCGACCATCTCCGGTTGTCTCCGCTTTGAAGTTAGTGTGATGATGTGTGATGCGACCTCAAGTGGCATTCACTCAGCACAAGAGCCTAGCTAGACTGGCCTGTGTGACTTTGTGACATGCAAAAAGGGTGCCTTTCTTCCGCGGCTTCTTTTTCCTGTTTTGGGTCCGCACTGGAATATACTGTATTGTACACGCAACAGTTGTAATATGTGATGCGGAGTTGTTGCAGAACTTGATGTTGGTTAATTGGCGTTGCCGCGTGGACAACTTGATTTTGATTTTGACAGTTCTGATGATGATTTCACTTTGTGAAACAGTTTTACTCTTGATCACGTTCACTTGCATTGGGGCTGGGTGGAGCGGGGTGGGGAGTAACGAGATGAATGGCAGTTTCCTTCATGCATGGCATGTGAGATGAGGAAGCCAAACCACAAGGAACAGTCACTGCTGCTGGGAAAATTCAACAACACTATCGGATGCAAAGTATGGCTAGTTTGGAGCAATGTCGGGCTTAGGTTGGGCCATGTCTCAGCTAAGTTGGGGCGATATTGGGGCTTCGTTGCGCCAGCTTGCGGATATGTTGCAGCTAAGATGGTGCCATGTCATGGTTATGTCAGCCCCCGGGAACCGTTCAAATCCCACACATGTCCAAGATCAGAACAAAATGCGCACTAGAAGATAATCAGAGGCAGAAAAGCACTGTAGAAGGCGCGGTCTTGTACACGTCGGAGCAGCCATGTTGGAGCTATGTCATGTCCCCACATCACAAATGACATCAAACGGCCATGTGGCATTTCACCACACAACGATTCACCAGAGCATGCAACAAGTCACAGTTGCGCAAGTAAAATCAGGGCACGCGGATCTAAAACTGTCCCGAGTTGAACGGCCCACCATGATCGGTGGACCGGATCGCTTCCGCACCACAGTGATCAAAGCACACCCGAAGTCTGCCGCAATGCAACCAGCTGGCAGTGATCAAAGCACACCTCGTTTGCCCACAAGAACATATTTTTCTTGTGTGAGTCAGTGAGTAACCGTTGATCTGCCTTACACACTTCTTGATCGCTTCCCATTTGTATGGACTGACGCCGCTACCAGCGTATACCAGCGTGAGTTTTACCAGTTCCTCACGCGGTTTATTCTTTATATAGACCTTTTTTTGTTCTAGCTAGTGTGTATTCCCAACTGCACCCGTTAGACGCGTTGTAACTTGATGGAGTGTTTGTCAAGGTTGAGCCGCTAGCCCGCACAGTCGTTTGCAAGGCCACCACAAAAGAGTTGCCAGTTCCTTGCCGTGATGCAATCACGGAGTTCATTGCAGTGTTCATTGCAGTGCAGCAGTGTCCTTACATAGTCACTGCCAACCAGCTGCTGTAGTCGTAGGATTCGTTGCGCTGCTGTAGTCGTGCACAGAAGCACTGCTTGCTTACAAACACGAAGATGATACCAACTCTTCCGGCTATGCGAAAGCCAACCGAGGCACTACCAACGTTTCGCAATTGCTGCCCTGTTTGTCAGTGAGGTGAGAGGAAGCAGTCCACTTAATCAAGGCAAGAACACAGGCTGTGAAAGCTGGACAAGAAAAGCGCACAGCAAACCAAGCGGTTACACTGCTCCGAGGGTTTTGCCCTGGGCCGGTAGCTCATGGTTGAGGGTATAACCTTGGATTCCCGTTTCCACTAGTGAGTGAGGCGCGAAGCAGTAAAGTACTCTTCATGATAGAAGCTTCTCCAGCTGGAGTAAAAGTCTTGGACGTGGAGTGCAAAACCGTGCAACAGTCCCCCAGGCTCCAGGATTTGTTCTTTCTGTTTCTTGATACGCAAGGTCCCTGCAGCGCTGATGGAAGAAGTCCAGAGGAAGACAGGATTTGCTGTGGAGTACTTCAAAACATATTCTGCTTTGGGCCAGAATTTGCTTGAGTACTTTGACAACAGTGACAACATCTCCCAAGCACGCGCTGCTGACTTTTTGCCTTGCAACGCTAGCAGACTCTCCTCCAACAACACAATCTTCCCATATTGGAAAGCAACCGGTGATGACGAAGGGGTGGTGGTAGACAAGAACACCTACACGGCATTCTGTCCAGATGGTTATCTTTGGAGGGCACCCAGTTGCAGAAGCCCCGAAAAAGAATGCATTCTGTATGTCACAAGCGGTGATGGATGGGGCATGGAGAATATCATGCAGCAGATTAGTGCATTTTCAATGCCACTGGCCGTTGGGGTCGCCGAATGGGAGAACTACTTGCGTTTGCCGAAAGCCTACTGGATGCTGACCTATGCTTGGTCGCCGGACGACTCCTTTTTGGACCTTCGGCTTGAGCAATTGATTTTCCCAGCTCACAATGCTTACGCTTGGTCAATTGGAGACCTAACCTCAGCCGGTGATTCTTTGCGACTTGCCAACATCGTCAGCTATGACATGGGATTTCTGGCTCCAGACCTCTTGGAACTTTTGGAGAAAAGTCGCCTTGACATTGATACCATCTACGATTTGATGCGGAAGAGGAAAGCCATGCAAGCTTCTCCTCGTGAAGTGGCTTGCCAATGGCTCAAGGACAATGAGCAGAGGTGGCGTCCGTGGATTCCCGACCCCACTGCTTGTTCCCGTGGCTTTGGTTTGTACAATGAGCTTGAGGAGGACTTTTGTCAAAGCAGGGCAAATGCCGAAAGCTGCAAAGCATGCCTTCCCGGCACGTACTCCAAACCCTTCCAAGATGCTCGTGGTACTACCTATGTTTGTTCTACCTGCCCACCAGGCATGCAGCAGCCTGCAGCAGGCGAAGTGGCTTGTCAACCCTGTCCAGCTGGGACAGTCAAGCAAACCGAATCCAGGGAGATGTGTGCACCATGTCGACAAAGCCTCTACCAAGATGAGATGGGAGGGACACACTGCAAAGCATGCCCAGAAGGCACTACAACGCTTCTTGTAGGAGCAGAGCTACTGTCTCAATGCGTTTGTGAAGAAGGATCCATTGATGTTTCTGCACCTGAAGCTGCCCAGATTTGTGTGACGTGCGGTGAGGGCCTGTTGTGTCCTGATGGCAGCACTCTTGAGCAACTTGCATCACAGGAGGGTGGTCTTGAAGTTCCACAAGTGGCACCTGGCTATTTTAGTTGGCCGGATCATCCGCTCGAGGTCTACAAATGTGCTGGGAGCCATTGTCCAGGTGGACGCCCTGGGACCTGCGACTCAGGGGCTTTGGGTCCCACCTGTTCGAATTGCCCTGAAGGGATGTACTGGGATGACGATGCCTGCCGTGAATGTGAGGTCGCCTTGGCACCCGCCACGTGGACGATTGTGCCGATTGGAGTGATTGTGGCCATGGTAGTCAGCTACTACTTTGCAGAGCGCTACATAGCCAAAGCCTCATTAGCTGAATGTGCGCGTCTATCAATGGAAATCATGATCAACTTCGTGCAAAATCTTGGTATTCTGAGCTTGGTACCGGTGCCCTGGCCCGATGCCTTACGAAAGCTTTTGGAGTTCTCAGAAGTGTTTGTGCTCAAAGTACAGTCTTTTGGGATCCACTGTGCTACACGCAGTGATATGGAGCAGTACATCTTCATCTCAGGGACTTTTGTGAGCATTGTAGTAGCAGGGCCCTTGTTGGGTCTCTGTACGCAATTAGTGCCCTTGAGACGACGTGGCTTGAGCTGGGACTTCTACCGAACCCTTTGTGCTACAGGAAAGCTTCTCCAGGCTTTGTTTGTGACCATGTGCAACGTGGGCTTGGGTCCTTTCATGTGCTATCTCCACCCAAACGGTCGCCGGAGCATGCTGAAGCACCCAAACACACTTTGCAGCAGCCCTGACCACGAGATCATGCAATGGGCAAGCTTTGCGGTGCTGTTCTTGAGCCTAACACTCTTCATTCTTTGCTGTTGGTCAGTAGCTAAAGCGCCGACTTGGTCACTAACATCTCCAGACCGGCTTAGTAGCATTGGATTCCTCACGGCAAACTTTCGACCGAGTTCTTGGTGGTTTGGTTTAGTGATCTTGGCAAGAGGACCAATATTGTCCTTGGGCCCAGTCATTGCGCCAAATGCCGAAGCATTGCAAATCCTTGTGATGAGCTGCACAATGCTCATCTCTCTGTGCTTGCAACTTTGGTTCTTGCCCTGGAAGGTGCCCCTTCTGAATCTTGTGGACGCCGTATCCACGGCTTTGTTCTTATTATTGCTTGGAGTCTCTTTGCACTTTGCCCCTGTTTCTGACTCTCGGGAATTTATGGATGCCTGTGGAGCTCTTGCATACTTCTTGAGCCTCGGGGTCATTGCAATGGTTGCTTTAGTGTCCTTCGGACTTTTTGCCGTTGAACGCTGCTCTGCGAAGGCAAAGAGGAAGGTCTCCAGCCACTCAGCTCTTGCAAACTTGGGTAAGCTGCCCAGTTCAGAGGAGATGGTGAAAGCGCTGCAAGCAATTGGAGAAAGTCTAGGAAAGGCGACTGATGCAGAGAGACAGTTGCTGGTAAAAAAGATGTCATCTCTCCTGTCCGTCTACGATATCAACATCGTGGGCCAGGCGCTGCTGATTCTTTCTATCGACTGTGAGCTCCAGTCCTCATCCTTTAGGTGGCACTCATCAACACGAATTCGAGCAAAACGTGTCAGCCAGATGACAAGGAGATCTTTGGTCTTTCTTCATGGTGACCTCGATGATGACAATCAGATTGTGAATGATTATCCTGGAGAAGAACGCCCCGGTGATTCAACCAGAGAAGAGCGCGACGATGATTCCTCAGTTTCGATTTAATTCAATTTAGTCTGGCTGAGTCTTGCTCAGGGTTCAGTCGTGTATGTTTCACAGTATCGAAGATATTCCAGATCAAATGTCAAATGACATTTCAGATCACTTCAATTCTTCAATGCGTATTAAAGCTACACATTCTGCCAGCTTTCCTGAAATGGAACAGCTGAAACAGCAAGATACCGTACCAGAAAGAAATAACTTTCGATGCAGTGCTCGTTTCAGCCCTTTTTCAGGTACCATTTTTCAGGTCCCCTCGGGCGACCAAGAATACCAAAACTGGGCGCCGCAGGTCAGTGCGCTTGGCAATGACCTCGATCTCATGATTCCGCAGAATAGCCCAGTTCCTGAAGGTGCCCAGTTGGGGTCGGTCCAGAGTGCCCAGTACATCCCAGTGAGGTCGAAGCGGAGGTAGATGGAATGGACATCCCACAATTTTGGATGCACAGACCGAGTCGGACTGAGACACAATGAACTAGGTTTTCGCAGCTAGAAACCATTTCCTGGGAATCACAAACTAAGATAAAGGAGCAAAATGCGGGGAAAGCCAAAAGGATGCTCGACTCGACCCGAAGCACATGTTTGTTTCATTGCTTTGTGCGGACTCTACTGCAGGTGCCACACACCTGCTGGTCTTCTCCCGAAATGCGTATGGCGAGTGCGCCGCAACAGAAGCACAGTGGACCATCATGGGAAACAAAGCAATTTGGCGGGTTTTTGAATGCAGACTCACTTGGAAGCAAATGTGTTTCCTACAGCTACTGGCCACTCAATCCAAAAGTTTTGTCCACAGCTGGGACAAAAGCTGTAAGTTTCGCTGTTTGACCTGCGTCGACAACCCTCCCTTTAGACTCCTGGTTCATAGTTAGAATTACGGCTGCGCCTGAGTGATTTCTACTCCGAACCAAAAAAGAGTCATCTAGACATATATGACACACTCATATAACATATTAACATATAAAGAAAAACACATATTATGTATGTGTTCTTTGCAAGGGATAGCATGCATGAGTTGCGAGACCCACCGTAGCTTTTGAAAGACAGGGCTGCCTGACCTCTGCCACCAGACCTCCCCGTGGAGGAGGTGGTTGGAGGTCAGGTAGCTTGGTTGGAAAGACAGGATCCATCCCTCGCTTCCAGGACTCCCCGTGGAGTCAGGGAGTGAGGAGGTGGGTAAAGGTTGGTCACGCAATTCCCTCCCCTGTGGGAGTGAGGGGGACGGGTGATCCTTTTTCGGCGCGAAAGGAGGCCACCAGCTTAGGTTCAAAAGAGTACTCCCTCCATCTTGGAGAGGGGGTCCTGAGGGCCCCTACAAGTCTCTGAGAATAGAAAGAGCAAGGGAAGCAATGGAGAATCAGAAAGTGAGGTTTTTCAAGAAGGGAGGCTCCCTGGAGGATTGGCTGTTGCAGGGTGGCCTCCTGCCGAATCATTTCACGTGGGTTGATGCTAAGAGTCATGAAGATGTATGGGCATATGCGGAAGCTACCTTGCGGAAAGGTTGTGTTTTGGAGTATGAGTGTTATGATTGGGATGGTCGAGCCCAAGAGAAGGCTTGTTTGAGAGTTGAGAGTTGGGGTGACGTTGGACGTGGGTACCTAGTTGGAGATCACCTGGCAGCGAGTGATGGTTACTATGATTGGCATGGGAATCACTATTTGAATGAGGGAAAAGGCCTCTATCATTTGTGTCGGGAGGATCGAAAGAAATGCAAAGAACAGTTGCCCCGAGGAGATCGTAGAGAATTGGTTCACTTGATGATGGCAGATATGCATTACACAAAGAAGCTGGCCATGGATGCAATTATCAGGTTTGTTGATGAGTGGACACCCCGGGCGCCAGAGCCAGCGGCACCACCGAAAGGAAAGGAAGGGCCTGAGGGGGCTGTTGACCCGACAGGTTTGGATCGGGCCCTGGAGAAGGCCAAGGAGGCTGCGAAGAAAAGTGAAAAGGAGGAGATAAAGGGAGGTGCGGGGAAGTCTGAGGCTACCCCTTCGCCTCGAGGATCGGTTGGAGCTCTGTTGGAAAAGAAGGCAGCAGAGCGCCGTGAACAGCAGAGGAAAAAGGAGGAGATCAAGAGGAAAGGCAGCCGAGGAAGAAGCCGAAGTAGAAAGCGGCGCAAAGATAAAAAGAAAAGGGGGAAGAGTTCCAGTGAGAAGAGAAGTGCATCAGGTGAAAGCAAGACATCGGAGTCGTCACAAGGTTTTCGGCAGCCCTTTATGGCGGCTTTCAAAGAACAAGATGGAGCCCACGAACCCGAATGCAAACACATACGTCAATCCACTGTGTATAGAAAGAGACACAGCCGGTCAGAATCTCTTTTTCACGCTCCGGCACGCTGTTGGACATCATGCGCTGGGGACTCCACCACCAAGGCAGCATGCGCTGGGGACTTCACCACCAAGCTCCGTCTTCATCATGAAGGATCTTTGTTTTGCATTCAAATCAAGCACTGGCGTAAAGGTTCTGGCAGATCCGCGGCACGAAAGAAACAATGGCATTGTCCCAAAATCTCGAAAATAAGCACTTGAAAATGATAACCGTCCACATAATACAGAGAAACCCACAACTGCGGCGTCTGATCTTCTTGTAAATAGGAGTGCAAGACCGTGCGTTGTTGTGCTTCGCCTGCATCAGCAAGAAGTATATGAGACACACACAACGGAAGTGAATAAAACTATCCTATATAGGTTATGTCATTAGTCCAACATTCGTATGGATTTTTCGCACACACGTTTGTTAGATGTGTCACCGGGGCCTCGAACAACAAACGTCTGGGTCCAAGTATTTCCAGCAATGATGAAGCCAAGATTGAGCTCCGTGGCCAACGCAACAAAGTCGACGTCTGTTGCCCAATGAGTATTCCCGCAAGTTTCGAGAGCAGTACTCACGGCATGCTGCAAAGACACCAGGGCCGCAGTGCCAGAACGCACTCTCCTGCTCCTCGTCACGGAGCTGTCGCCCTGTTTGTAGCGAACTGTAGCATGGCGTCGTCTACAACTTCTGCTCCGAGGACATCGTTGGCGTCTTTCAAGAAAGCAAAAGGAGAGCCGCGCAAGAGTGCGATCATGGACCAGTCGTCCAGCCATGTCCTCGCAGCTTCGCGCTCCAAACACCCGACGACGAAGTTCAAGAATGCTTTTGGCATCTTGGTGCGCATGTGTCGCCCGACAATCTTGCGGAGAGCAGCCGCGACCGTAGTTCGGTCGTCCCAGTCAGTCACCTCATCGGAAGTGAAAAGATTCAAGAGTCGTGGGTGGACCGCTCGCGCCTGCATCAGGACGACCGCAGTGGACAAGAAGAGGCAATCGCCGCCCCCACCAGCTTCGGCGGCAAAGACACGCAGAGCCCCGTGTTCTCGGAAAAAATTGCGCCGTGGGAGTGGCCACCTCTTCCAGCGCAAGAGACCAGATGTCGCAGAAATCCGTTCGCAGCTGACGCCACTTGGTGGGGTCGTACTTCCTGTTGGTTCCCCTGAACTCAGTCACTACGCTCGCATTCGTAGCCGCCGTCCAAGCCCCTGGGACGTACTGAAAGCGACCCTCTGGTGTTCTGTGGGTCGGTCGCGGTAGGTGTTCTGCGGCTGGAAAACCAGGCAGATGTCTGCGAGCTTCTTCGATGGCGGAGCGAGACAAAAGCGCAACCTCCTGCAAACAATGATACAAGATCGACACACGCGCGCGCGGATGGAATGACTCGTGGCTATATTTCATATAGTTCTCACTCGAGCAGTGTGAATCAGTCCGTGGATATCCAACATAGCACATTAAACAAGCCAACAAGCGCATCAGAGTCCTCCAGTCGATCCAAAAACTCGGCAATATACGCAGGTGGACCAGTCTCAAAGATCGAAAAATCAATATCGCCTTCTGGCGTCTCCGGTAAATACTCGAGAGCTTGAGCGCGCCCAAGAATCATGTACAAGTGCTGCGTATAATCGTCTGCCGAAAAATAATCTGGCTTCGAAAAATCAATCGTGTGCCCAACTCCTTTGATGGTCTTGCCTTGGGCATAGGTTCCAGCAGCCAGCGGAGCAAGAGGATACCGTATCCGAGTAACATCCAACATCCAGGCTCCTTTGCGATGCAATTGCGCGCGGAAAGAATCTTCACTCGGTTCTAAATGCCACACTCCAGGCAGAAGCTGTCCAGTATAATCTTCTTGCTGATCCTGTTGCAAGTCAGGTGTGACTCAGAGACTTACTCCAAAACTCACAAGTCCAAGTCCACAAGTCTAAGGTGCACAAAGTCACAAAGTACTGCGCCTGCCACGAAATGTCACCTCCGTCACACCTCGCAACCTCACGATTCCCTGCACCTGCCACGAATCTTTCCGCGTCCACACGTCCAAGGCGCACAAAGTACTGCGCCTGTCACGAAATGTCACCCCCGTCACACCTCGCAACCTCACGATTCCCTGCGCCTGCCACGAATCTTTCCGCGTCCACACGTCTAAGACAAAGTACTGCGCCTGTCAGGCCTCCGTCACACCTCGCAACCTCGCGATTCCCTGCGCCTGCCACGAATCTTTCCGCGTCCGTACGTCTGAGGCGCGCAAAGTACTGCGCCTGTCAGAAAATGTCACCTCCGTCACACCTCGCAACCTCACGATGCCCTGCGCCTGCCACGAATCTTTCCGCGTCCACACGTCTACCACAAGGACGGGTTAACTTAACCCTAGGTATATGTTGACCTAACTGACGTTATATTATAGTGTAACTGAGGTTATACATTTGTCTAAAACTGCGTAAGCTGCAGTAAGTGTTCGGCAGCACTTAAGCTTAGATACAGTGCACATGCTCTGTTTGTAAGTGTTTTATATCTTCTGAATCGAGATTTTGCAAAAACAACTTATTCTAACTTACTGCGCACTTAAGCATACTTACAAAACCTTGTTTTTTTTGATGTTTGTTTTTGGTAAAGTATGTTTTTTTTGGATGCTTTTCCTTGGTTTTTTGAATAGATTTTGTTTTTTTCTGATAAAAGTTCTTTTTGAATAGATTTTTGACTCGGTTCATTTTGATGGCTGTTTACATGCACTATCATTGAGTATAGTTAATTGTGTCAAAGGAGTTGCGCAGGTCATGTTGGCGGGGTGTCCGCTGTATAGGAAATCCCTGCCAAGCAGGATGTTTGCGACAGACTGAAGGATAAACATTACTCATGCAACAACTCTTTCTGGAAAGAATTGTTGCTTTGTACATAGCAAGCTGTGTACAAGCTATCCTGCCAAGCAGGACGCTTCACAGACATTCGCCAGGACAAAGTTAAGACCAGGGCCTGATCTTTACTTTGCTGACTGTCCATTTGTACATAACAAGCTTGTACAGGATCCCTGCCAAGCAGGGTGTGATAATCTCTGTCTTGGAAGGAAAAGCTAAAATAGATGGGGTTGGCTGACATCCTCTGACATCATTCTGACGACGTGTGTAGTCAGAATGTAGTCGGGCCTGACTTCGTTCTGACGACGTATGT